GAAGGCTATTCGAAGGTACCTTAGTTTCCTTCTGACCGCGCTTTCAGAAAAATTCTGAACAGAGAGGCAGCACAGAAGGCTCGGGATCGTAAGAAGGACTCCATTAAAATGATGGAACAGTGTATTGCTCAACTGCGATCGGAGAATCGGTTCCTCCGCCGTACGAATGTAGCTTTGAAGGAGAAGTGTCGGGACCATGAACAGAAATTTATTTCCCTGCGGAGAGAGCTTGATGCACTTATCCAGAGCTTAAGGACTGGAAACCGGAAGCAGATTGAGCCGTCCGAGTCAGCAGTACTCACCCCTCAGCAGCAGGGCGTGGCTCTCTGTCTTCTGGTATTCCTATTCCTCCCTCTCCTGTGCATGACTTCTCACTTTCCTCCTTCACCCCAAACAGCGCAGACTCGGAATTTTTCCTCCCCGAACTCGCAACAATTGAGGTGTCTTCCGAAGTTACAATTCCGCCCTCAGAAACTCCTGAAGCTGATGCCCATGAGATAGACATCGCCCCTATAGTTCCCTCCTCATCTGTTTACGATCTCATTTACCAATCTTTCTGCGATAGCGAAGCCAATAGCGACGTCATTTTGAGTCCATCGTCCACCTCAGATGAAAGTCTTGATGACATCCTTCAGTGTCTTGAGGCAGATGGGTACTGCTCCGACGCGCTAGACAGCACCATCCCCTCCCTCACCCCCGAGTATTCTTTCATAGACGCACCCTGATCTTTCTTTGTTCTTTTTTCTTGTAAATATATGCATTCTTCCCCTGCCATCACTGTTATTCGGTTTCTACAGTGCTTCTAGATGGGCGTGTGCAGTCCGCTAATGTATACAAGGCAGAAATAGCAAATGTAGTTATTATTTGTATAACGCGCTTGACTTGGGCACAGCTGCTCGTAAGTCGCCATCTGTGTGGAAATTGCCGTTCTTTCCTTATAGATGAGACGAGAAACCTATGCTAAATTGTCAGTTGCATTATTCTCGATTCTGCAACAGTCGCTCAGTTCAAAATGCCTACGGGCTAGAGCTTGCGGAAACCACGGAACTCCTGGGTTGATGTACTCACCGTCTTGGTTTGAACATGTGAGCACGTAAGAGTGGTACAGGATTCTACTTAATCGCGGGCCATGTAACTGCGATCTGACCGTCCGCCTATTGATGGCGGGTATCCCTATCAATTCTAGTCCGACCCGGCCCTGATTCGCGAAGTTTGACGGAAGAGAATTTGTATAAAACTCGATAAATGTTATTTTGAGTTAAAAAGCGTTTTCAACCCACGCAGCGTGGTATGCGTAGTGAGGCTTGCCCGCTTCGCTCACAGTCACCAGACTTGGGTCAGGCTGTCGCTCAGTCTGCATATAGGATGCTGGTTTAGTTGACACGTGGAGTCTTGTACACTTTTGGTCGTCTGCGCACGCAATATAATTGCACAAGTCGCCGCTTCGTATGAAACGTGATCCACGATGAGTCATTTGTATGCTGGATGTATTATCATGTCAAGGCCGGCCAGATCAGGTATGGAAACATCTGTACCAGTTAAAAAGTATCATGTCTATGATAAGGCTCAGGTGCATATTGCGCTGTGCTTGGGGCTGAAGGTTTATGATGACTGTCGACGGGCTGGTGAACAGAGGTAGACTTGCGGGAGTTTTCCAGTGACGGTGTGGTAACTTATTATGCCACCAGAACCGGTCGGGAGTTAGTTCGCATTTAGGTCAGGCAGGAGGTTTAACCTATTAAGGCTTTGGAATAGATTGCAGTGGTCTTATGATGCAGACTCACCGTATCGGTCGGTCGGAGGCCGATTCCCAAGCGCAGTTACGCACACCAAATAGGCGTCCGGGGTTGCCTTTAGCCACGTCGTCATCTGACCACCAAACACCTTTCCTAGCAAGAACCGGATTTGAGCAAGGTCATTGCAGCAGTTATGGGGCGTTGAGGGGATTGGGCTCCCAACTGCCTACGAAGCCAATAGTCTTAGACGCGGTCAGAGAAAAAAATTATCGAATGAAGCTTGGACGATAGGAAGAGTCAAGATTTCGGATACCGTCTGAGCGTACGGATCCTTTCTGAAGAACTGTCTTCGTAGAGTCGGTATGGTCAGATACTGATATCTAGTCTAGTTTTTAGAGTTTTGTGTTGATTGCGAGTGGAGCGTGGTTGATTCGACGATCGATCCCCTCGCTTTGCCCGTTTTACGTTACTCGACCCGAAGCAGCAGAGGTTGTCTACCTATCCTGACAGGCACGATTTTTCAATGACAGAAACAGAGGGGTCGTTTATGTATTGAGAGAATTTATTTTTATGACCTTTTGGGCTGTCTTCGTACCCTTTTGGAACACTATACGTTGCATTTACTCAATCGAGCTCACTAGCATAAACACGGATCTGATGAGGATTCTTAAGATACGGCCCACTACTTGATATCGCACCTAAGTGCTCTGCCAGCGTTTTTCGAAGGGCTCAATTTATCACGCAGTTGAACTCAGCGCCGGTGATGGCACTAAAGAATACATTTGGTGAAGCTAAGGTGCTGTCCGACACGGGAGGACGGGTTA